AAACTTTTCTTTGACGCATGCGCATTTGCATAAATGTCTACACACACACACACTACACACAATAAAAAACATAGGAAATAGCAAGAATGATTACAATAGTTCCTATTGCATTACATGCATAGGAACTAAAAAGAGAAATTTTTATGATGCTGAGAATTCTTTTATTTTTGTACTATTTCATTAAAAAAAATATATACTAAAACAATAACAATACAATATAATAATATTAATAATAATAATAATAATAATAATAATAATAATAATAATAAAAATTGTAGTATCTAGAACAATAATACATGCAACAATAAAAGTAAATAAACAATACACATAATATTGAAAATTATAATTATAACAATAAAAATATTTACTAGAGCACACTCCGGGAGTGTATACAGTATTTCCGCCCACATCATAATTCTCCATGTATAAAATTCACACGCATCTTTCCCATTTGAAAAAAAAAATAATGAAAACATAATCCACCAGGAATCAAACTCGTGACCTTCCTCTTACAAAAGCAAAAATCAAAACCAACTAAACAATTAATACAGCCCGGTAGCTACTGTATCATGGAGGTAGCTATACACAAAACAAAGAAATTTTTCAGTATTTTGTAGTATTCATACAAAGTCTGAAAATGCCGAAATCGTAATACATTATCTCTATGTACAGCAAGCAAATACAGCCTTCCAAAAGGTTACTGTGAACTTAAAAGAATATATTAATTTCACAAAAAGTTGAACAGTATACTGTACACTGTAAGTAATTATGTCAACATTGTAGCAACTGAAACATCACTACTGGTTTCTTGTATAGAGTAGGTATGTGTAATGAAATTGTATTGTTGTCATTTATTAACCGATGTTAATTAAGTCTGTATATGTGAGAACCAATATAATTGAACTGTGAAAACCAATATGCATGTATGCAAATTGTTGTTTTCCTGTATAGTTTTCACTGAGCCGACAAAAAAAAATAAAACTGAAGCTCCCTTGAAAGCCTTGGCCTTTGTGTTTATTATGCAAATCTTATTAGCCTGGGTGCAGTAGGAAATTAGCGGGAAAAAAGTAAAGGAAAATTTATTTTTGGTTTCTCTGAATCAGTATATCATATAGTGTTTTAGAAAAAAAAATCCCCATTCTTAGAGCTTGGGCAACTTTTTTATAGCACTTTGAAATTTTGACATAAAATATTATATTTTGGACTAATTAAGATGGGGGGAGGGGAAATAAATGTATGTTTTTAGCCACTTTTACATATGCTATGTCAAATGTAACTAGAACTTGGCTAAATAGTTACTCTTCACTCTCGTTAAAAAATTTAATCGGAATGATGGCTGCCATTTTGGCGGTAAAACATTTTTATAATTTAAAATTAACTTTATTGTTATCAGAGCAATTTCAAAACAATGTTATACATACAACAATAAAATAAAACATATACACACACACATATATATATACATATATATACATATACATATATATATATATATATATATACATATATATATATATATATATATATATAAAATAATAATAATAAACTATCAGAATATATAAACCAACTAGAAAAAGAAATAGCGAAATTTTGCTCTGAAAGACCCAACAATTCAATTTCTGGACTCAAATCAGGGTAAATTGAAAAAACTATGGCATTATTTTAGTCACTTCTAGTTTTTCTTTAAATGTGAAAATTGACAATAAACTTAGTTAACTAGTTACTCTTTACTGTCTTTATCAAATTTGATTGAAATGATCATAATGCCAATTTCCAAGATGGCGTTTATATTGGCGGAAAAAAATTGTTATTTTTGTAAGATTATTAGTATTATTATTATTACTGTTGTATAAAATACAATCTCATCAAAGCAATTTACACATAGAATATATATAAATATTATTACTTTAATAGTAGTTTTATGCTTATTTATTATTGTTGAAAACATTATTAATATTATTATATTATATTGTATACTTGTTTTTTCAAAATTATATTTTATTATTGAAATGAATTACATTGTTAGTACTGTTATATAATAATATTATTTATATTTTTATTACCACTATTGATATCATTTAGTATTATCATCATCCTCATCCTATTCGTCAATGTCATCATCATTCTCATTGTTGTCTAATCATCATAATCATCCTTTACTGTCATCGATCGTTTTAATCATCACCATCATCATCATCATCACATCATACTCATCCATCGTCATCGTCCTCATCTTCATCACGTCATCATCAATCATCTATCGTCGTATCATCCTCATAATCCTCATCCTTCATCATTTTCCTCATCATCATTCTCATCATCATATTCATCCTCATCCATCATCATCCTCGTCATGATCAATGGCGTAGCCAGCTATTGGTACAGTTAGGACAGTCCCACACCATTTTTCTATTACGGGTCCACAAAAAAATGGGTCCAAATTATGTAATTTTATGCATAAAATGGATCCAGATTTCTCATATTTAGTTAAAAATGGGTAAAATTTAAGAAGATGGGTCCAGATATTTCGTATTTTTGCGTAAAATGGTTCCGGTCCACATTGTTTAAATTTACACGTAAAGTGGGTCAAACACCCTGATACTGTCCCACACTGTTTGAAAATCCTGGCAATGGCATTGATCCTCATCCATCATCGTCATGTCACCCTAATCACCATCCTCACAAATCAACGTTATCATCATCACCATCACCCTACTAATCATCCTCATCCATCATCATCCTTATCCTCCTTATCATCACTCATTCATTATTCATCATCATAGTCCTCATTATCATCATCATTGTCATTATCATCCTCATCATCATCCTCATTACAATCATCATCTACCATCATCATCCTTGTCCTCATCATCATCAACCACATCATCATCATCTTTATTAATCATCATTATCAATCATCATCCTCATCATGAGGATGATAATAAAGAGGAGGAGGACGACAAGAATGGATGAGGATGAGGGGCAGAGGGGATGTTTCATCATTTGTCATCATTAACCTTATCAACATCATTCTCATCAATCATCCTCATCATTATCACGATCATCCTCATCAACAACCATAATCATCATCATCATCAAAATGCAGATTTTGAAAAGATGAAAATTATGTTGAATAATTTTAATTGGGAAAATTGTTTTCTGTTTGAAAACATTAGTAACATTTGGGAAAGTATTATCAGTTATATAAATAAGGCAATTTCTGAATCAGTGCCTATTAAGAAAAGAAGTAAAACCAAATCATTTCCATGGATTACTACAGAAATTAAGAAACTTTGTACAAAGAAAAGAAAATTATATATTAAAGAAGGCCAAGATGTTAAAGACACAGGAGGCAACAGAAAAATGTAAAAGTTGTAGCAGAAGTTTGAAAAAAGCCATATACTGTAGTCATAGAAATTATGTTTTAGATATCTCAAATAAGGCGTCTACAAATATGAAACAATTTTGGGCATACATTAGGGCAATTAAACAAGATTCAGAAGTTATAAGTTTTAAAATAAATGATGGTGTTGTAACAGATGCAAAAGAGTTAGCAAACCTATTTAACGATCAATTTTCTAGTAATTTTTGTAATGATGATGATGATAATGACTTACTTTACAACTCTGATATTGTCTCACAACACCATATGGAATTTGAAAAATTTAATGTGATGAAGGTTTATCAGGCATTAAACTATCTAATTGTTTCAAAGTCTCCAGGACCTGATAATTTACTTCCCATATTTCTAAAAGTATGTAAGGAAGAACTGGCAAGAGTATTGTGTAACTTTTTAAATTTATCTTTAGAGAAAGGTGTTTTACCAAAACAATGGAAAACAGTTAATGTTGTACCAGTTTTTAAAAAACATGGAAAACCAAAGGGAGAGATAAAGAGCTATAGGACCGTGCCTTTAACACCAATTGTTTGTAAGATTATGGAAAAACTTTTATGTAAACAAATAAGTAATTTCTTAGAGTTCAATAATTTATTATCAGATAATCAGTTTGGTTTTAGACATGCATATAGTACTAAATTGTTACTCACAAAGGCATTTCATTCATGGGCTCAAAGTTCAGAATCTAAAGATTGTAGACAAGTATATGTAATTTTCTTAGATTTTTCATCTGCTTTTGATAAGGTCCCACATAAGCGTTTACTTAAAAAGCTTAATAATATTGGTATAAACAAAACTGTAAATAAATGGATTCAGGACTTTCTTTCAGATAGAAAACAAAGAGTCATCTATAGAGGTGAAACTTCTAAATGGAAGAGTGTAATATCAGGAGTTCCTCAAGGGTCAGTTCTTGGCCCTTTGTTATTTTTAATGTAATATGTAAGTGACCTTGAATATGGTATAACATCTTCAATTTTTCAATTCGCTGATGACAATACGATTTCAAGACCTATTTATGAAATAGACGACTGTATTAGGCTTCAGGGTGATTTAAATAGGATTGTTGAATGGTCTATTGTTAACAAACTGCCGCTAAATGCATCTAAATGTGCAACTATGAGTTTATCTAGGTGTAAAGAGCCTCTTACATGGGACTATAGTATAAATTTTGAAACAACTGAAAGCTGTCTCTTATACACATCTAGATGTGTATAAGAGACAGGGAATAACCTTTGCGGAACCCTGATTGATTTTCATAAAGTACATCGTGTGTATTTAAATAATCATTTAGTTGACAGAATATTGAACGTTCAAGAATCTTTGAAAAAACATTTAAAATGCTAATCGGCCTATAATTTGAAACATCTGATCTATCATTCTTTTTGTATAATGGTTGCACTTTCGCAACTTTTAAATCGTCAGGAACAATATTGGTTTTTATTGACAAATTGATAATGTACGTAGCAGGACCTCGTATAATGATAATTATAATTATTATTATATTCATATTATTATTGATAATTATTATTTAATAATAATAATAAGTGAAAATTGTGTTCCCTTTTTGAATTTGTTGTACTATTTATTAATTCCTCTGCTGTCATTTATAAATAATGGCATTTATAAATAATGTAAATGTCATTTTCCCCCACATGTGTTTGTTCACATTCAAATTTAGGAATAATGATTATTTAATTTCATTGCTTACATATAGTGTTGAAAATGGCCAGTCATAGTTTATACTGTGTCATATAATAAGAACAAGTATTTATTTGTAATTTTGAATGTATCGTCAATTAATGCAAGTTATAATTTTTGTATAAATACCACTTTTTTTCTTATTTTGGATACTAAGTCATGATACAAGTCTTCTTTCTGGCAAAAATACCTCTTTTCTTAAAGCCATGAGAATGCACAAGGCTATGTAATACAACAATAAAAAAAAATTG